GAACAGTGATTTGTAATTTTCAGAATGAGAAAAACAACCAACCAACATTTAGCAAACAGATATACCAGCTTCCTTTCGTATATAATTGGGTTGGATTTTTTTCCTAGCTTATTCTGTCTCAGAATTGAAGGTATGGAAGAAGCCTGCATTACAATTCTGACCTTGTTTGCCGAGACCTAAGTCCTGAATTTCAGATCCAGGAGACCACAGCAGCCCAACCTGTAGGGAACTTGGGTGTAACAATATCTGGTGTACACTGGTGCCAGATACCACTTTTACATGTCTCTGCTTTTTCCCCCAAAGGACTTCCCTTATTTTATTCTAAATGCCGCTCTGCATTTAAACTAGTTAAAATGTAATCTCACATTTCCTGGTGTTTTCTACTGGCAGGTCTTTTTAACCTATGGAATGAGCCATCTCAACAGAAACAACTGCATAACTTTGTGTTTTTCATTAACACAGAGGATTCCAAGGGCCATGTGATAAATTATTTTACTGAGATTGTCAAGGGAGTCAAGGAGGAAGGATGGAGGTTAAACTGAATGGATAGAAGGGAGCAACAGAAGAGAGATGAGGTCCTGGGGCTGAGATAAGAGCTAAGTGAAGAATGATGGTGAAAACCTGGGGAGAAAAAGAGGAGAGAGAAGCAGAGTAGGGAAGAGAGGACACATGGATGGGTAGACATGGGAGAGCAGCTAGTCACAAAGAAGGTCACAGCCACAGGGATAGCAGCTAACATTCAGTTCCTTCCAGTAATTTTACATTCAGGGTCACTGAGGCCAGACTCAGGACACTGCAATTTGGTGCAGGTGTTCTGTACGCGAAATCACATGAGTCTCAGTCTGGAGCTCCATTTACTGCAAGAAATTTGGTATGAGAGGAAAAAACACACAGGTTATATGTAAGAAAGACAGAAAGACAAGGGAAAACTTGAGGAAGTGTGGAGGGGAAGGAGAAGCACAGTGCTGGCAGGAAGTTAGGACAGGCAGTGGGTTTCTTGGGGAGAAAAATTGAGGTCTGTGTTGGTGAGGAGGGGAGGTCAGATGGCACAGTGTGATCCTGTGGAGGGGGGAGCTCATGTCCTGGTTCCCAGGGAAGCTGTGTGGGGAAGGAGAAGTTCAGGAGTGGTGGTGTGTGCAGGGAGCAACAGTTAGAAGTGTTAGGAAGAACACGGCATGCTGGTAGCCTAAGCAAAGATGAATCAAGAAGAAGAATCCTGAAGGAAGGTCTTGTTACAAGGAGAAGAATCCTGTGATGAACCCAGCCTAATTCCATCTTGAGTTGGGGAGCCATTTCATCACAAAGTCATGAAGTTAATTTGTGTTTTACTATAAATGACTGTGATTTCTGAACTTGTTTGGAATGCTTGCCCATGCCTTGAAGCCACCCATGCCTGATTTTCCCTGACCTGGTAACAACCCTCTCTGAAACCTCATAAGTTCTGATGTTTGCATTTGAATTTCCTTCCTACCTTGAAATATCATGCCATGTAGATCTTTAACCTACTATCTGCCTTTGTATTATGCTTGTCAAAATCCTGTTATCTGTAAGTTTTCAATATACCCCCATTTTGCAACTTTTTATGCTATAAAATTGTGTTCCTAGAGAGCTGGGGTACTGGTGTCTAGCCCAGGGTTTTCGGGAAAGACAGTCCTGGCCAGCTCTGGTGTACACCAATGCAAGCTTGCTTTAATATTATTTAAAATTAGAGTCGGTGGTCTTTTCTTTGCATTGGGGTTTAACATCATGGATGCCCATAAAATAGCAGAAACACCCTGCCTGGCTGAGTTCTATTTGGCATATATCTTACTTATCTGGATTTTCCTCCTGTTTTCCTGTGACCAGGGAGCACACAACCATCAGAGATGTGTATAACCATCTCCTCTCTCAAAGATTTTTTCTTTTTCTGGTCCTGGTCACTTCCCACCTATTTTATCTCTTATTTTTTCCCGTATACTCTTGCTCTCTCTCAGCTACTCCAGCTCTCAGCATCCCCCAGGCAGCTCCCAATGGTTTCCATCCTTTCCTCTCTCCTCCTCAGACTTGTCTTTCACCCTCCACAGCTGAGAGCTCACTCAGGGTGCAGTGGCCTGGGGAGCTGCAGATCCTCAGTGGGACTCTGACCCAAGCACCAGCTGCTACCTGCGTCCTCACCAGGAGCCTCTCTGCCAGGAGAAATTTGAGGGGAACAAATTTTGAATTCTTGTTCCACTCCCTTTATGCCTCCCTTGTTATGGTTTAGATATGAGGTGTTCCCCAAATGCTTATGTGTGAGACACTGCAAGAAGATTTGGAGGTGAAATGACTGGGTCTTGAGAGCCTTAACACAATTAGTAAGTTCATCCCTTGATAAACATTAACTGAGTATAACTGTGGGCCGGTAGGTGTGGCTGGGTAGGTGAGTTCCTGGGATGTGACTTTGGAGCATATATTTTGTCCTTGATGAGTGGAGCGCTCTCTCTC